ATACAGAAATTTTAGGTGTTCCTTGCAGATACAATACTTTTAAGCAAACTGGGGTGAGGGGGTGCAGAAGGGTATTGTAATAAGTCATGCATGATATTACTGTTTTAATCAGAAACTAGAACTTAGGTATGGAAACCTATGAAAAGTTCATAGACACTATGGGATTTTCATATTTTAATTTTACACATTTATCCCTGAAAACCTTGAAGATGACTATGAATAAAAGATTTTTGAACTGGATTCTTTGTATTACTCTTGCTTTGCAGAATGAAGAACAATTCTTCTGTGTTATTAGGATATTGAATTCACAGATAATATTAGAGCAATTAAGTAGTATTGGGAGAGGAAGCAAAAAGTCAGTCCCATGGAAATCTGTGGCTAAACTTGCCTCCCTTCAATGAATTCAAATACCACTCACAAAATATGACAAGAAAGGGTCATAAACACTTCAATATTCAAGGCTGTAGATGGCTGAAACTAAGATGGAAGCTATAAGGAAGGCAACAGCAATTGAACTGAGTTCTGATATATATATATATAAGTGTATATATATATGTATCAGAACATACATATATATACATTTATATATATATATATATATCAGAACTCAGTTCACTTTACATATATATATATATATTATTTTGTCAAGGATGGAGTGACATGTGAGATATCCAACAAGTCAAGCTGTAGAAAAAGAGGTCAAAAAATGGTATCCTGTGAGTACAGAAATCCATAAGAACGTCAACTCTAATAAAACATACACTTTCAATATGTGGCTATAGCTGAAAGCTCAGGAAAAGTACAAAGTTAAGCCTGGTATGCATGTTAGAAGAAAATATGTGTTTCTCTGGCTGATTGTACCCTGCAGTGATGAGAATCTCAAATAACTGTACTTGATGAGTGAAAATAAGACAGTGTTCTTGTGAGATATATATCGATACCAGAGACATTTATATCCATAAACATCTTAATTTCTTTCATCAGTCACAGAGCCATAGACTGGTTGTGTTTGGAAGGGATATCTGGAGGTCATCTGGACCAAATGATGAAGGGACACAGAGAGCCAGTTGCCTAGGACAATGTCCAAACAGCTTTTGGATATGGCCAAGGATGAAACACAGAACTTAAAATCACAACTCCAGAACTTGTTCCTCCTCTGTGGTTTATCTTCCAATAGAAGGACATGGAAGACTTTTGAAATTTCTTCTAAATCTCCTTATAGTCCTCAAAAAAATCTACAGTATATTAAGTCAATATGGCATATAGTGTTGGGAAAGATCTGTTAGCAAGATTTTAGCATCTTTTTCTCATTAAGGGTGCAGCAGAACCCCATGAAGATGGGCAAATGGATGCAGCAACACATCTGTAATTAGTTTGAATATATCTTGGTCCAAACACTTGTACAAAAATTAAACTAGACAGGTTGAAACTAGAATAGAGGGACTGAAAATACAAGTTGAGCCAGTGTTGAACCATTTGCTTTAAAGAAGGCATGAAGAGCTGATACCACTAAAGCTACTGCATTACAGATAAAGACAGATTATTATTCATCACTAACATTTAATATGTCAAGATTTTTCTCATATATTTATATAGTTACAGACAACTGGAAATAATTCATACTCTCTTAGATTCTTAAAAGATGGATTACTCTTATTTTGGAGTATTATATGTCACCACCAGTCTAAAATCATTAAGAGGTGGTCACCTCTTGTTAGAGCGGTTCTATAGCAAGCTCAGAGTACTTGCAAAGCTGAGATTTGTTTTCTTGTATATGAAAAGATAGCAATCTTTTCTCTATATTTTAAATCATATGTGAAGTGGTATTACATTTTAGGAATATTAAATCAAGTCACTTTTGCATTGGTTGTAGAAGTTGCCATTCACTGTGCTGCTATGATTTAGGAATGAAACAGTAGAAGCAGCAATTTAGCTAAGTAACATGTAAAATATTCCTTGCTTGTAAGCAATACTGAAGGTTAGTAGGTTATCAAGTTGTTACATTTTCAACACAAATTTCTAAGAAATATCAGAAATGCATACTCGGTAGTGGCAAGTTGTGTAATGGAGTGGACTACATACTTAAATCTTCAAGCAGAGAAAAATCATGACACAAAAGCATCTAAAACATCCTCTAGAGCACAGCCAACTAGAGTCAGTCTGCTGCTATGCCTACCTGTTTATTAAGAACACCTAAACTGAGGACAGCACATCATTGCTGATATTTCTTTCGTTATGGAAATTTACTTTTTAATAATCAGATGAGTATAAACAGATGAGGATAAACAGAGGAATAAACAGATATGAGGAAGTTATACTCCCATCTCAAAACCATCACACACGAGTTAGAACATTTATATTTTGATCTCATTGAGTCTGTTTTTCACATAGGCTATAAAACATCTGGTCAATTGAGAACTACTCTGTTTTTGAATAAATAATCAATTCCTTGTATGCAGTAATACATGTCTGTTAATAGCATCACAAACATACTGATCTTAACCATCTACTTACCAACACAGTTTTCCATGTCAACATGTGTGTAAAAACTGTGGTTGATAATGGCTGGCCAACCACTTTAGGGTGTGAGAAAAAACTCATAATGAAAGACTGCCCTGAAATGTGCACAACTACAAGCTTCACAAAGCAGTAAGTCTCTTATATTTACCTGTCTCTGCTTCTCATGTAAATTTCTGCCACATAGTAGATCAGGAGGGTATTCATCTGGCTTCTGGTTCTCTCATATGCTACCCAGATCTCATCTATTTGTTTGCAGGGTGGCTGCTGGCCTTCCCCTCCCTATATCCTTTGTACCATTTCCAGCTGCCCTGAACAGGGATCAATAAGTTACCAGTCTGTGGTGCAATCAGTTTCCTAGCTCATTTCTGCTCTTTCAAAAAAGATCTTTTTCTTACTCTTTTTAAATTTTTTATTACCCAGATCGATACAATCAGAGTTGTGCTCCTGTCTAGCCTCCACTCGCCAGAGACAGCCAGCGTGGGGACCTGCTGGTCTCTTAGTAATGTTGATGTCAAGAGGGTGATTTTTTCCCCCACACTAAGTTCCTCTTAATTACTTCCTCTGAGATGCTGAGGGTGGCCTTGCTTCCATCCTTCATGACTCACTGTCTCTGTCCGGGCATGTCTGCTTTATAAAATGATGCCTTCCAATTTTAGGCCCATTTTTTTTCCCCACAAGTAGTGAATGCTCTGTTAATCTTTAGGAATGATCCTCCCAGGAAGGCTGTAACTTCTATTTTAAGGAAGATTTCAGTCTGGGTGAATGATTTTTATGACTACCGTTAGTACTATTTCTAATCTGCCTTTGTTATCTAAGGTTTGGGAGAAGGTCACGGCAGTTTAAATTCTGGACCACCTTGTCAGAAATCATCTGCCTGAGGAGTTTTAGACTGTCTGCTCATCCTGTTAGAGAACTGCATTACTCCAGGTGTGTTCTGGATTTACAGAAACCCTCATATTTGATGGTGGAATTTTTTGTTGATATTCTGAATACTCAGCAGACTTGATATATTTCCATCCTCTCTATACTTTCAAAAAAACCCTACATTTTTTGTAACTCCAGTATACACTTTTGCCTAACAGGTGACAATTGAGAAGTTTATTTCTAGAATTTCTAAGTAGGAAGAAAAAAAGTGTTTTCATTGTTGTTCCAACAACTAGTAAATAAATCATCATAGATAAAATGAGTTTTATTTCTGTTAAAGTACTGCCAAAATTATTTTCAATAATAATAATGCTTCAAATAATTCTGAAATCAGAGTTCAACCAGGACTGGAGTATCATTTTCCTGGAAAAAATGCTAATTTTTCATCCACCATGGAAAGGGGAAAGAAAAGTTAAAGAAATCTAAAAAGGTAAAATTGAATTTGTTTGAAACAATGATTCTAGATTTGTATAAACACCACAGCTCCTTAAAAAAATTATCTGATTTCTCCCAGTGTCATCTTATTAAATGAATTGCAGCTCCCTTCCAAATGTAGTGCATTTAAGAGATCCAGTTCATCTAATAAATTCATAAATATACTTTTAAAAAAAATGGAGTTAATATTTCAGTAACATACCGAATATATTCTAGAAAGTTTTGTCTGCTGTATTACCAAAATAAATATATGTTTATAAAAAAATTGCTCATTTAATGTTCAGGTTTTCTTGTGTAAACTTGAGGAGACTTGAATTATGCTCTAAGGAAATTCATTGAAAACACAATAACTTTCCTAAAAAATATCAGTTTAAGTCTAAGTCTAATACAAAGCAGAGCAACATTTCAAATTTAGGAGATTAAATCTACTGGACATCTGAATCTAATCCAGTATGTACCTTATTAAAAATGGATACTTAGAAAAAAAATGAGTAATAATTTATGTACATAAGTTTAGGTAGCAAAGTCTGAAAAATTACCTAAAAGTCTATGTAAAAGAAGGGAGAAAAACAACAACAACAATAAAAAACAAATAGCATGCATCCACTTTGGCTACTTCTGATAGATGACTGTGATAAAATAAAGGCACTAGGTCAGAAGAAATTCTTTGCCCCGAGCTGTCCACTACCAAACTGAAAGCCCAGGTGGCAGCTTGAGAACCAGGAAGACTAATGTCGAGTGCAGTACAGGTGTCCTCATATGCACTGATCTCAGATGAACAATTGATTTTGAGATGAAAAGGGGGAAGCAACCTCCAGAACAGCACAAGATCCTTGTTTACTGCATTTCACAGTAAGCACGTGTAAACACAATTCAAAAAATTACTGTTGAAAAATCAAATAGAATCTATCTTTAAAATGATGTCAGAGGGGGAAAAAAATCTCATGCAGAACTACAGAGGATTTCCTTTGAGTTTTATGTAATGAAAAGCAGCAACTGCACCTAGCTTCACAGAAGCATATGTCACCACAGAGGAGAAACCCACATCTAATTATTTACCAGAAAATGGCCTCTCTGACATAAACAGGGAAAATTGTTTCATAAATCAATTTTGCACTAACCTTCTAAACAAAAACGCACCACACAGTTGAGATGCAATTACTTTGCCTTGTACATCACAGGATGAGGTGACTTGATATTCAAGGGAAGGAGAGGTGAGAGTTGCTCTTTGTTCTCTGCACTGAACATGACAATCTATTATCAGAGAAATTATAAACATTCACAGTAAATACATTGTCCTCGACCTGCATGCACAAGCTTGCCTTCAACCCTTCCAAGTGGTATTTCTTCACACCAGGGCCAGTGTGACAAGCTCAGCACCATCAGGAACCACTGGCTATGCTTTGCTTATCCCCCTCCCACAGATCACAACAGATTAATAATTTAGGCCCACCCTCTCTGTTGTGTATGTGTTTAATGGACATTTGCATTTGCTTTCCAGAAGCTTCCTGAGTGACAACCACTCAGGAAGAAGCCCTGATTTTTAACTTTTCTATTATTATATTATCTTTTTCAGATAAGAAAATAAACGTAAGTACAAAATGCCTGCTTCTGAAGAAAGAAGAGTGATACAAGCACTAGCATTTATACCGTCTTACTATTACTGTATTATTTTTCCCATTTCCTTAAATTGTGTTAGGGTTTTAATAAAGAGATACTCAAAGGAAAAGCTCTTACCCAGATTTCATACAACAGTATGAAAAAAAACAGTGAGGGTTGGCAGGTGAGAAGTCAAGCTATCAGCTTATAGCAATCACACCATGCAATTTTGAACGGATCTCAAACATTCTTGCTTCCTCATATTTTGTTTAGATGCTTTCATTTTCTGGGAGCATGCTCTAGTCATCACAACCACTTTTGTCCCTTTACCACACTTGTTTTACATCATATGGAAATTTGCTTGGCTTTGTCACTCCATGTGACAGGGATGGTCTAGCTGAAATTCAAATGAACGTGAGTTCATTTAAAACCTGATTTTCATAGCACAGAGTTTTCTTAGAAGGTGAGCAAGAGCAAGCCCCTTATTCATCCGCAGAGACAACTGTGAGTCCAGCAAGTCTGGAGATGCCAGAAAGCTGCTTTTTACCAACATCTTGCTCCAAACAGAAAAGAAAGAAGCTCAAAGGAAGTGTTTTCTTGATGAGAAACCTATAAAACAATAAATAAAGGATTAGAAAGATGTTGAAAATGAAGGTATTAATATGGGAATACACAATCAGTGTAGACGGAGGAAGCTGGTGGGTTTACCAAAGATGGTATCATTTGCATAATACATCAGTTTGCAATTTACTGATAATAAACATGGAAATAAATGTCTGTGGCAAACCTCATATTTGCTTAAACCCTAGCTCATTAAATAGTCGATATCAAATTACTAGCTGTTAACCTAGGTAATGTTAGTGTGGGAGGGGTTACAGTTATAAAAATGCTTGGCTTCCTCCTGACAAATCCAACACCAGCGCACCAACTAACAATTTCTTTACTTCACTACTAATTTTGGTTTTAAACCTCAAGGCCATAATTACTTTAGTAGAGTGTTGTGATAAACCCACCTCGGATTTTGAATATATAACCTTGTATATGGCTATATCATTTGTAATTTATAATATTAATCTTTTTAAATCTGAAGATAAATTAATAAATACCATTACTGGCATGAAAAAGGTGAATGACAAGAGCTGAAATATATTGATTGTGGCCACTTCATCATCTGATGTCAAAGTGAAAAGCACTGTGCTTTTCTCCATAACGTCATCCTATTCCACTTTTGTCCTTATATATATTATGTCTGCCTTTTTCCTTTTTTTTTTTTTTGGCTTGTGATATGCATTCAATTAAGTAATAGCACTCCAGATGTGGTAAGTGCTTTGCTCTAGTTTTACACCACAGTACAACGTGCCATGTATTAGCAAACTAGACAATGATCTGATTTATTGTGTGTATCACTCTAAATGTGAAAACACTGCTCATAAATTGTATTTTTTGTACATATCACTTAGTCTTTCACTGCTATTACCTGACTTTAAAAACCGTAGCAATTACATAGTGAAAACAACTTGAAAGTTCATGGCATCCTGCAGGAGACAATGCATTGTAATGCATATCCTCAATTCTCTGCAGGATTCAGCAGATTACAAATCTGTCAGGGTAAAGTCTGCAGGGAAACTGTACTTTTCAACTGTCTGTGCTGTATATAATCCACATTGTATGATGCAATAAGATATAAAATTGTCAGATGAGCCTAAAGTTCTTCTCGGTTTACTTAAAATTATATGTGCAAAGACAAGGAGACTAAAAGCTTGTAGAGCTTGTACATTTCTGGAGCTGAAATCATATTGGCAACGTGAAGCATCATAAATTTTAAACCATCCGCTGTCATGGCTGATTTTATGCAGGTGCTGAACAATAAGCATTTGTGCTGAAATAACACCATGTTATATATCAGCCTAGGTAAGTGTTGGTCCACAGAAATAAACATACAACATTGCGAACACTCACAAGTAGATACATTTTTAAATAACTATAAATACTCAAAAATAAAACCTTAATAATACTGACTTTAATAAATCAATAAAGAATTTCACATATTCTGGACAGATGGTATTGTCCTACAACACTTCTTCAGAAAGCACACTGACACAACAACATCTTCAAATTTTGGCAAATGCTCATCTTGAGAGAATCATCAGCTCCAGCTATAACTCAGATTCTGCTCCTTTCCCAGCTTCTGTCCACAATCCCTAGCTTAAGGGTTTTTAAAGTAGGATCATCTCTCACCCTGCTTGGAAACCACTCAGACAAACAGTAAAGCCCACAGAGCCGTGACCATTACCTTTGGTATCAGGAGAAGAAATGAGCAGCAAAGGGCAGGCCGGGGATAGTAATTTTTGGATCCTGTTGCAGCCAGAATAGCTGTGTCTGTCCAGTCCTTTACACAAAATTTTGAAAGTTAGCTAGTTGCCTGAGGTGGGGTAGAGTTGCAGAACCTATCCCAATTAATTTATTCAGAAGACAACAATTTCAATTCAAATACTCCATGTGGTGTGTGAATTGTTCCCACTGCACGAATATCATGCTGTGTAGAAATACCCCAGTTCACTTTTTTGGACCTGTGTGGGGTATTTGACACCACAGAGGTACATGGCTCATTAGCTCAACAGCACCATTCGGGTTTGGATTGATGCTCCTCCTAGAAATGCAGGCAGCTCCTTGCAACCCCACACAGCTGACCTCACCCCTACACCTCTGAAGATGGGTCAGCTGCAGCCCAAGGCTGTGACAGAGAAGAGATGCCCAAAAGGAGACATTTCATGCTCACATTGTTACTTAGTTTAAATAAATAAAACCTGAAAATATGGGATCCAGATGATTAAACAGATCATTAGGTGCAACTAGCTTCTCCACATGTGATCAGATCTGAAGAGACATGTATGTGTAACACACACAGTATTGTAGGAGTGGGTTGGTTTTAGTGGAATTAACATCTGCTGCTCTTTGAATAACAAGAGACAGGGAAAAATGAAGGTTAAAGTGGGTATTCTAGTAAAATAAGGATATGCTCTTTAAAAATATATTCTTATCTAATGGCAACCATGCTCCAATTCAGAGGCTCTTCAGATTCTTTTTAACGAGACTGAATAACATAGCAGACCTGCTCTTTTATGTATTTATAGTCTGACAGACGTAAAACTTTTAATTGGAATGACTTCACATTTGGGTTATTATTTGAGGTTTAGAGGTGAAGGGGCCAAAAGGTGAGAACTTTCGTTGCACTGCTATTACCCACAGCCCATGCTGAGAAAGTGGCTCCAGAAATGTAAACCTGGGGGCCACACCTCGTACCTGTCCCTCTGTGGGCTGGTACCCCCTCCTGGAACCTGAGCTTGTCCCATGACTACCACATGAGATTTAGCAGGGCAACACTTGAGAAACATTGCTTATGTCAAAAGAATTCCTCTAGCCCTCTTGCACTCTCTCCATTTAAATATTTAGCAATAAGTTCAGTGCTTGTCAAAATTACTGGGTTTGCAGCCCTTTTATACCCAAGTAACACCTGGTAAATATAGGTAAATATGTGAACCCTGGCTGCAGGTCTGGCAGTGGACAGAAGTTCCCACACCCCATCCCATGCTCTTTGGTCAGGTGTTAGTGTTTATTGGGCTGATCCAGATCAAACGTTTATATTCACTGAGCACTTCTGCATTGTTTTAGATGAAAGAGTTATAAATTCACCCACAATTTGAGAAGTAACCTCTGATTTCATAGAAGGCAAGGTTTCTTTAGTTATTCTTGTAATGGGACCAAGGTTTTGTCTTAATAGTTAAGCCAGAACCGTTAGTTAACTGACAGCCATAACCGAAAAACAGGATGATGAGTAAGGCTATTTGGGTGACTTTTTTACCCTGATTTAGCTCTGGGAATGGGTTTGGAGCCATCAGAAGATTAGTCACCATCTGCAGATCCCCTTCCAGAGGCAGCTGTGCTGGTGGTGTGGGTTACTGATCCCAGCCCCACCTCTACGTCCCTCAGTACCCGCTATGCCAGTCTGCTGGCAAAACAGCTTGTCTAAGTGCTTCTGAGTCAGAATGAAGCAAGTTATTAGGTATTTATTATTTAAACTTCTTAAGGTGATTTGGCTCATTTTGGCATAGGTGGTTTTGGAAGCGATTACACCCACAGCTTGGCAGCAGGCCTGTGAGAGAGGCAGACTCGGCAAAGGGAGGACTGCAAAGGGTTGCCTGGGGGCAAGGACATCTGCAGCTGCCAGGTGGACCCGGGACGGGTATACAAACACCTCCTCACCACACCAGCCCTCATTAGGGGAGCACAGCTTGTACTAATTACTTTGCTAGCTATTAGGAACTGGAAGATCAGTGGTAGCAAAACAAAAAAGGTTAACATGGTATTTGTCTAACCTTGGCAAGGCAAAAACAGTTCTACAGTAAAGACCTTACAATACATGGAATCAAGGAGCATAATAAGTATTACATTTGTAGGTTTATTCTTCTAACATGCAAGCACAGGGGCTCTTGTATGTGTCTGCAAGCCGAGTAGTTAGCATAAAAAGATTATGTCCTATTTGTACAACAAGAAATGGGCCATTCATTACTTTCCTATGGCATTACAATTGCCAGCCCTAATTGTCTGTCACTTTTTGGGTAGTAAATTACTGCTTCTTTAGCAAAGATTCAGATCCAGTGGCCCTAGCAGCTCCCTTTTAAGCTTTCAACGGCGTACTTAGCCTAAATCATATAATAAAAGTTACATGGTAACAATGGAATTACATTGCTAGAAGTTTTATAAGAATTAATTTTCTAGAAAGATCTAAAATTCAGTCATGAAAGTGAGCAGCAACAAGCAGCCCCCATAAAGAATAGAGGAGGCCTAGATGAACTATCGAAAGTCTCTGCTGTTAAACTCCAGGTAACACCTATGGAGCTTCAGTAGCTAGAAAAAATGCATTTGCTTTTGCCAGAGAATTTAACAAGGTAATCCACTCCCCAATTACATGAAATTTAAACTTAAATTGTGAGGGATCCAGGCTCAATACCTCAACAGTGGCAAAACCTTTGACTTCAGCTCAAGCTGAAAAAAAAAGTCAACAATCCGAAAGCAACTGGATGTCAATCCCAACGCTCTTCTCCTGCAAGCATGAGTTGGAATGCTAGAAAATGTTTCAACCACAAGGGCAGAAAAATTCAGAGCATCTTTTCAGAAATTCTAACAGGGCAAGACACATCACTGGTTTAAAACAAAGGAAAACTAACTCATAAGATAGTCATCGTTGGTTGTGCTAGAAGGGAACATGACAATCCAGAAGGCCCCTCTCAGCCCAATTTTTATCTGTGTCATGTATCTCAGCTATTTATATCTGTGCAGGCGTAAACTTACCTTGAGTCTGTGAGCAGATTGCAAAAGCAAGTGCACACAGCTTTCCAAGATGAAGGCCAACAGGTTTGATTTCGCTCCACTGAACGCCACCAGCAGATTTTCACTGACTTGAAGAGGAGTAAGATAGCCCTAAGTTACTAAATCAAACTAAATTACTAGATAAGATAAAAAAATAGCAAGTTACTAAATCATTGAAATACTTGCAGAAGACCAAAAAAAAAAAAAAAAAAAAAAGTTCATTTTTTTCAAGAAAGCAACTAAAACAGACATAGAAATCGACAGAAAATTATCGGTAGCTTTGTTAAGACTTGTTTCTTCATTCAAATATGGATGCATCAGTGTATAGCAACATTTTCAAAAGCATTTAAGTGATTCAGGAACTTAAGACCATTACGCACTTTTGACAAACTTTTTAATCTAAATCAGTTCACAAAAAAATCTGTGAAAGTTTAAATGGATGGATGGACAGATGGCCAAATGGGTTTCTTTTCTGTATTACTTGCCTGCAGCTTCTCCCTCTGTTAGCTGCCTTTTTTACTCTCACTTTTTTTGGAATTAAAAAAAAAAAGGCAGTACTCAGACATGCAGCCCATTTCAAAGCTCCAGTGGGTAGCAAGGAAATACTTTAGAGATCAGGTGAAATGAATTCAAGATGAGTGAAAATGGTCTTTGGTTCTGCTCTGCTACCTTTTACTGAAGAATCACTGCAGAGATGTGAATCATCTCCATCCACACTGTGCTTCATTTCTTGCAGGCATTTTTCACAGATCTCTCCTGCTTCTTCTCTCTCCTGGTGTCAGACACTATGATTTTCCATTGGTCACTGTGGCATTAAGGGTTTTATTACCATTAGAACAAGTGTAAGAGAAAGGCAGCCTGGTGCAAAATAATAATAATAACAACAACAACAATAATAATAATGATGATATATACTTTGCAACAGGAAGTAACAATTAGGTAATGAAGTCAGGAAAAAATGAGAAAGCCCAACTTCTATTCACTTGGATTACAGAAAGACAAAAATCCTTCAACCAACAAAATCTCTGCTTATAGTAAACTGAGAATACAATTACATTCAGGCAACTGGGCTCTTTGTCTTTTCAGGGAGAAATTTCCTTCTCAGAACAAACAACAAAATAGAAAATAAGGTAAAAACAATATTTTATGAAGCCATTAATAATAAAACATAATTGTACAAGACACTAATAGAAACTGTTTCTCAGAGAAGACAAATATCAACATGATAAAATATTGTTTTTATAAAGAATATGAAACTTCAGTTCACCTCTCCTAGTTACCACCTTAAAATAAATAAAAATCGTGTCTTGAATATAATAACTGTGATTCCATTTAGAAAATCTAAATTACGGTGTTCAATAGAATTTCAGGAACCTATGAGTGTTCTCTGCATTCTTAAATTTAATTCCTTACCTTGGGGACAGTAACTTGTTTCTGTATTTATGATAAAATAGATGGCAGAAAATATGAGGAATGTATTTAAGAAATATGCATATTTTGAAGTTACGTATTTTACCTAAAAAGGAATTTTATCTTCTTCATTAATGCATAATAGCACAGATGATCCCTTATATGATATTAAAATTATATTTAAATATTAAGTTTTCACTGTAATAGTATGCTGAGAAAATCATTTACCATTAACTGTTAAAGCCAGTTTCCAATCTATCGATTTTACAGTGCAGATCAAAAAAGAATCAAAATCAAATTTAAAGATACCCCTTTTTCTTTTCCACACTCTGTAGTTAATCATAGAATCATAGAATCATAGAATATCCTGAGCTGGAAGGGACCCTTAAGGATCATCAAGTCCAACTCTTGACACCGCACAGGTCTACCCAAAAGTTCAGACCATGTGACTAAGTGCACAGTCCAATCTCTTCTTAAATTCAGTCAGGCTCGGTGCAGTGACCACTTCCCTGGGGAGCCTGTTCCAGTGTGCAACCACTCTCTCTGTGAAGAACCCCCTCCTGATGTCAAGCCTAAATTTCCCCTGCCTCAGCTTAACCCCGTTCCCGTGGGTCCTGTCACTGGTGTTAATGGAGAAAAGGTCTCCTGCCTCTCGACACCCCCTTACGAGGAAGTTGTAGACTGCGATGAGGTCTCCCCTCAGCCTCCTCTTCTCCAGGCTGAACAGGCCCAGTGACCTCAGCCGTTCCTCGTACGCCTTCCCCTCCAGGCCTTTCACCATCTTCGTAGCCCTCCTCTGGACACTCTCCAACAGTTTCATGTCCTTTTTATACTGTGGTGCCCAGAACTGCACACAGTACTCGAGGTGAGGCCGCACCAGCGCAGAGTAGAGCGGGACAATCACCTCCCTTGACCTACTAGCAATGCCATGCTTGATGAACCTAGATACTTTTAGAAATGCCTCAGAAGTCTTTTAGACTCTCCAAAGAGAATTCAGCCAAACAAGGGCCTGACTGAGAGCATTAGGTAAAACTGGCAGGAAAAAAAAAAGCATGCCATTATTTCTGTGACTTCTTTATTTTAAACTTTGTTGGACAACAAAACTTGGTTTAGGGATGATATTGGGTTTTGTTCCAACAAACATAATCACAGTATGGGATTTTCTGATACTGTTTAATGTGTTTTTATAATGTTTCAAGCAAGCATTACATGAACAGGGATGATGTTGAAGTGTTATTAGTAATGTGGACAATATTTTCAGGGCAATTAATTGTTGTTGTTACTATTTTACGTGTGTTTTCTGAGAGATATTCTATATACTATCATCCACAAAATTACTCCAAGTAAAGAAATGTTAGACACATGAAAAAAAAAAAAGTATTCATAGAGATTTTATCACCCATCACAGAATCACAGAACTGTAGGGGTTGGAAGGGACCTCGAAAGATCATCGGGTCCAACCCCCCTGCCAAAGCAGGTTTCACCCATGCTTTGGGCTTTTAGATAAGTATGAATGACCTAAGGATTTAGTTTAATCCTTCCATAAATTAGGTGAGGACAACCTTTATATAAGTGATCTCTAAAAGCAAAGTTGCACTGGAAGTCAATTGCTAAATTGTTAGACTGATTCTTGACATACTTTGTGCACAGACTTAAGACTTAGGATCAGCTAAGAAAATTTCCAGTCATTTTTGAGGCAGCCTCTGTTTCTGAGCATGAGACCTTTTCTTTTTTTTTTCTTTCGTTCCTTCTTTCATTCCTTTTTTTTTTTTTTAAATCAATATGGACATAGACGTGTAAGATATGATTTGTCTGATGCTAACAGCACCAAAGAGCAGTTCCAGGCATGTCCCTTTTCCTACCAGACACATGGCCACAGGTTCCCACACACCACAGCCAGGATCTCCCTTGGGTCTGTGACATCTGTCCTGGTAGAAAGCTGTGCTGTTCCTCCCAATAACTCACTCTTCTCAGGGCTACAGGAACTACTGTTGAAGGTCAGCACTCTGAGTTCTGCTGTGGAGACAAATCTGAGCCTTTTGTTCAGCCATTGAGTCTATTGTTCCTATTTTAGGTAATTTTCAAATTATCTCCTAACAGGAAAAGCAGAAGATGGAGACTACAACACATGGCACATGTATATCCACTTTCAGTCCCCAGGACCCCCCTTTGCAAATGAGATCTTGTACTTTATAGAGCTTTGTTTTCCCAGTAGTAAACTATTTAAATGAATAACCACATTTAAGCTACTCCTGGGGAAGAGCCAATTTAAGAAAAGCCATCCAGGAATTCACTGCAAATGAGATGCTGCCTCTCCAAAGACTCTGTTCCTTACCATCACAATGACAGGCTTGGGAATGACTTCTAAGAGAGAATACCAGAAAGCTGGGAATTTGTCCATTATAACTTAAAATTAAGATGGTTTGAATGACATAGACAAAAAGGGGAGACCCCCTCCCTTACCCTCCCCCTGCCCCCCATATTTATTTTTTATAAAAAATAAACACATAAGTATCTTTCACAGCAAATAAAAAACAGTGACTCTGTTTTAAATACCGACAACAGTGAAATAGTTAAAAAGTTGTATTTTATAGAGTCTTTCCTTAGAAAATTGAACTACATTATTAGGGTTCAATTCTTTGGAGCAATTAGCTATGAGACTCCTATGGACTTCTGTATTGAATAACAAGCTTCTTTCCTTTTTTTTTTTTGTCATTGTTGTTTTAATACTCTTACTATCATTATGTATTTATATTGCAGTTGATGTCAGTGATAAAGCTGCTATTGGTTCAGTACGTGAAGTACTGGAATATCAGCTTTAAGATATAGTTTGCATCCACAGTAGCATTTATTCATGGCTGATCTCCAGACATTGAAGCTTATACTGCATGACAAAAATGATGCCTAGCATTCACAAAAAAATTCTAAAAAGCAGTAAGTAGTCTTGTCAGGATCTGTCCATTCAGCTTCTTACCTGTTTGAATTGGTACAATGCAGAGGAAACAGCTGCTTAACAGAATCCTAATAATAGTTTGAAGTATTAACTTGGGTTTGGATTTTGTTGTTGGTGGTGGTTTGTTTGTTTGTTTTATCTTGGGAGAACAAATGTAATTCTTATGGTGCACTATTTAGAATCAATCAATCCATACCAATGCACAGAAAAGTCTATCTCAGTGGTCATGTGATCGACTCACTCACACTTAGAAAATCCATCTTCAATGGGTTTACCGTCTAAAATGAACTGATGCATAAGTATCTTTTAGGGACTTGGGGAAAATACTCTGTTAAGTGCTGGTTTTTATCATAATCTCTTTAGGTCTTCTCCATTCAGTTCAGCTTCCTCTTGCTAACTACATACAAGCGTACATTATACAAGAAATTAAAACATTATCTACTGCAGTGGTGAGATGCCTTAAATTAGTCCAATGGTTTAACTTTCTGGTAAGGTTGTTCTAAATTCAAAAGCCAGCCACAATGAATATGTTTATTTTTGATGGATTCAGTAGTCATTATCACTGCATTCATCAATTGGAGGCATGTCAAGCGCACTGAAGTATATTAATTGCAACAGGTTAAATCAGCAGTCATCTATAGAATTATTCCTTTTCATTTTCTTTCTTGAACTAGTTGGCCTTGATACCCTTGATTAAATCACTTGAATGGTATTTTATTGGTATTTTTAATTATAGCCACTATTCTGCTAACATCCATCCATAAATGATCAGGGTTAATTTCCATCAGTGGACATTTGAGAAAAATTCATTTATTCTTCACTGTTTGCTCTTCAACAAGTGAAGGTGCTTCTACATCATTTTGCTAACCCTGGAATTTTGCCAGGCTCACTAGAATTTTCAACACCATTCACATGATGAAGAGTTGGGTGTATTGAATAAATGTATGCCTAACTGGCTACAATCTGTGAAGGAGATCCGTTGCGTTAAAAAATAAAAATATTTTGTTTCCGCACATTCAAGTTGTTGATTACAGCTCTCTTATCTACCAAACTGTAACCCCACATGGTACAAGCAGAATCTCAAATAGAAGAGCTTCTACTTGGCATAGGAGCTCCATATAACATTTTCCTTCCCTGAGTGACCACTGACCTGCTGACCCTATTGCCAGGAAGAAATAATAATTATATTACTGTTTAGCACCAAGGTAGAGGTCAAATCATAAATAGTACCATAAACAGTTTTACACAAATCAAAGCCTCCATCTTTTAGAACCTACTGAAAGTGTTAAGAAACGTGTTTTCAGAATATATTTTCCATTTGATTGTGGTGGAAATTTGGGAAAGTTGTTCTAACATTGTATATAATTTGATCTTCGACATATTTTTACATCAAGAGCATGTGCATGTCTGTTGGTTATACCATGACAATTAGCTAAGGATTCACCAGCCTGGCCACAGTCAAGAGGCAAGAGCCATCTTATAATTTAAAAAACTTTTTGATGTTGCCATTTGACTGACCTTTCTTCTGTTCTTAATGTCACACAAGTCAGTGAACTGAAGAGTAAAGTTCAGCTAAATCCAAAACTGTTCTAAGAGCACTATACATGCACTTCCTTCAACTTGGTTTTCTTGCTGTCGAGCATGACAAATTACTAGAGCACTCTGAAGTTTAGTGATGCAAAGCAGTCACTTGAATTCACTTCCAAATTCAAATGAAGCGCATTCTTCTCTAGATCTTGATAACATTTTTCAGAAATTATTAAAATGATTTTCCTTCTGGTTTCTCTGAAATAAAGGTGAAACCAATTCAGTATAGTGCACCAAAGTGTATTTCTAAAGTCATGCAGCCTCTCCTGCCAATTACCAAGAAGAAAGCTTATATTAAGACCTCCTATGTCAGTTTTATTATGAATACAGCTTATTCTTTGTCAGATACAGTAATTGCAGGTACAGCTATGCAGATAGATACAGACTACTAAAAACAACCCTTGTACATGCAACTTCCTAACCCCACACAAACCAGCACAAGACAGAAAACATCAGGCTAACAGTCAGTATCACATTATACTAAGACTAGAAAATCTTGTGTAGAAACCTTCCCTTTTTCAGTGGTAGTTTCTTCCAAAATATCATTTCCAAGAATAAAACCAATATGACTGAGGAAGGCTACAGAAATTAAATACTCAGCTACTATTTTATCAGGACATGACAGCCAGATACTGATTTAAACTACACAAAACCCTAGAACTGAATTCTCACTCTGAAATATTTTTTACTGACAATTCTACTGATTCAGACATTTTAAGAATTCAACAGTCTGAAAACTGCTTCATTTCAACAGACAGGCTTTCAGATATGATACCTGAAAAAAGATGATCAAACATTCTGGCTATCCGACAGCAATCTGTTCTTTTGTCAGTTCAGAGAACTGTATGCAAGCCCAGGCTAAAGTTTGAATCACCAAAGCTGCAGAAGTCTTTATATAAAGCTGGTAGGCCATGTTTTCCAAAAACAGTCATCCACTAGGACTTTCTTTACATGTTTTTTTCACTACAGGACCTTTAAGTTGTATATCCGGCCAGATATACAGGTGTGTTAAATTTTCACTGGTACAGCAATGCCAAGGGAATGAACACTGCAACTATACTGTCATTCAAGGTGATAGAATGATAGACTAAATAGAGTTGGAAGGGACCTCATGGGTCTATCAGTCCAATCTACTGCTCAAAGCAGGGTCAGCTATAAGATCAGACTAGATTCTTCCAGTGCTGAATATCTCCAGACAGAGACTCTGTCTCTAGCAATCTCTCTGGACAACTTGTTCCAGTGCTGAACTGTCCTCACGGTGAAAAACATTTTGTCTTACACCCAGTCATATACTACTTTTTTTTAACACATGCCCATTTGTTGCAGGTGAGTGGGATAAACAAGTTCTCATTGTGAAGTTAACCAAAATACATTTATTGAACTGAATCAACGATCGAACAGCAATGTCAGTCAAGCACTCTATTATAGTTAAACATCAGTCAAACCCTCTACTACTTACTACATACTAATAATTAAGCTAGCTCAATGTATATAAATTGTCACTTAAGCTCAATATAAAGAAATGCTGCATGCAAATAGAAATGTGACTTACCTTGTTGTGAACATCAGATGCTGGGAAAGGGATCTCTCAACCTGCAGGAGTAACCTTGAGAGGTGTCCCTGCTCAAGGGGAGATCGCTGCCGTGCAGTCCTATGCCATACAGAAGAGCTCACAGGGCTCTGGTGGCTGCAAGTATTTACAGCATAAAGTTGTTGACTTGTAGTCAAATTTCCTTTTATAGTCATGCGGAAAGTTGTTTTTCTCTCTTTCTCTTATCACTAGTGTCCAAAATATACCAGTTCTGCACAGGAACTCATGTCCTTAGGCAATACAGTTTACAATATCTGTGTCTCCAATTAGGCCTGATTACCAGCAATGCCTGAAGCAGCCTACTGCTACGACAAAATGGGGTGTATGTGGTGCATGCGTATGTACATCCATCACACCACTGTACTGTCATCACGGTGCGTGGCAGGAGCATGAAGAACTTGGCTCCTGCTTCTTGGAATCTCAAAGATATTGTTGTTATCAGGTATCCTCAAGCCTTTCCTTTCTCCAGGCTAAACAAGTCCACTTTCCTCATCCTGTCCTTACAGGACAAGTGCACCCGTCCCGTAGCTCCCTAACTACGAGGGTGCTGTGTTAAACTAAATCTATTTCATCCTTATTTTCCTGTTCTGGGGGCACAAAAGCTGGATACAATATTCTAGATGTGATCTAATGACTGCCAAGTAAGGAAAGTTAATCACTTCCGTCTATCCTAATGGCTGTGGTCCTTAATACAGACCAGGATGCCACCGACCTGATTTGTTCAGCTTGTGGCCCACCAAGACCTTCAGGTCTCTTTCACCGGAGCTGTTCCCCAGCCAGCAGTCCACAGCCTGTGCTGTTTCAAGGGGTTCTTCCTTTCCAGGTACAGGGCTTCACAGTTGTCCTCACTGAATTTCAAAAGGTTTTTGTTAGTAAGGTCAATGAAAGATTTAGAAAAAATTATAACTGGTGAATACCAAGCTGGTACCAACCCAATCCCAACAGGACAGAAGATGAACATAATTTCCATTTTCCTTTCTTTCTGGTTAAGTTCTTTCTAATTTTATCTGTTCTTACAGTTCTCACAATCAATTTAAATTATAATTTCTTAAATTTGCAAAATAAATAAAAAAGAATGAGAATCAACCATTTCATTTACATTTCTGCTTCAGGCTACTTTTATTTGCCTATACTTGGGTATTTGGTCTTGAATTTGAGTTCTTCTGAGGGGCTGTGGAAGACAGGGTAGTTCAGTCAAAAGCATTAGTCAGGTATGTTGTTACAGTTAAGGAAAGGAATTTCTGTTATACAGCAGTTACAATACAGTGAAATAGGAATAATCCTGATCTTTATATGAAATAATCTTACTACTTCTTCTCTTTTGTCCTCTAATCCAGGACAACAATAAGTGAAAAAAAAATGCATAAAATTATAACTGTTTTAAGAAGAGTCAGTAAGATGTTCTGTCTCCAATATAATCTTCTGATAGAGCACCTCCCTAAGGTATCAAAGAGGTTTGCATACCCTTAGGAAGAAGAGAAGTAGCAGCCTATATGTCAGTCTAGGTGAGAAGCAACTGATAGCACACTGGACAGAAAAGATACAGCCATTCCTCTCCTGTTTGAAAGATCGTATCCATCACCTCCTGACCATCACTTTCTGAAAGCTTCTACACTACCTACACTTTCAGGAGAGAATTCAAGACTCAGAATTTCAAGCATCTATTTTGGCCTTAGGTTTCCCCAGTACTCACAGTTCTGGGCCAGTATGGGACATCTCAAGTCCAGGTCAGAAAGCAGCGACCTTGACTCTGCATCCTCATTGCTAACCCCAGACATCCAAGAGAAGCTAAGTGATGGAACAGATGCACAGAAGTCACTAAGTTTTAGTAGCATCGCATTTGACCCAAATACCAAGTTGTAAATACCTCGAATTGGATAAAAAATAGCAAAAAACTTCAATCACAAAAATGTATCTCTATTCCCCTTTATAAAAATGTAATAACACCAATGTGAAAATACATTCATCATTGTTTGAAGGACCCATGAAATATAACAGTGATAAACACTGCCAAAGAGACGCAAAGAAATTAGTAATTCCCTCTCCTTAACAAGACTTGGCTAGCCAGCAGTGAGAGAGGCCTGGAGATATATAATAACTAAAACTAGGGAGAAAAATCAGTTCTGAATAGCTACTTTACGTCAGGACTGGTGCTGCTCACTGACTGGGAAAGCGCCCCATGGAAAAAAAAATGACCATGACTGTGTAATTAAACACTCTTATCAGGATGGATATGCACACAGGAACTGAGTTAAAATTGCACAGGCAACCTTAATTATGATTTTTCCTGACTTTGCAATCTTAATCATGTTCTTTTAATCTAGTTCTGTATTTGTAATTTTAATGTCATCTGGCAGTGGCACTATGAAAAAACAGTCACCAAGCTTCAATAATGAACTTGACCTCAGCAGAAAAGAGAAACATAAGGCAACATATTTAGGACACTTTTTTTTTTTTTTTTTTTTGCTTTCCATAACTACATGCCTAAATGAAGTAACACTGATTACAAAGAATAATACAAATTATTAATTTATAATAAAGAAACTGTTTTTAAAAAACAGCAGCACCTACAAGACTTTGTCAGTGAGTTGTTTCTTTTGAAAATACCCTTTGGTGGCTTATCTATTTTACTTAGATATAATGTTTCTGGTCTTTTAATTCATTAATTCTCAGCTCTGCACTATAGACAGACATTTTGATAAAAAATACAAAATTTAAAAAAATCGTGAAATAAAAACATGCTGTTTTTACAAGTCCTCAGAGGGCTTATTTCCCAAACCTGACAAATTATTTGCCAAGTACAGCTGCTCTTTCTGTACAGCATAATCTCAATCCTGATTGAAAGTCCCACCTACATGTTAGAGAATAGAGGCTTCTGTGCAATTGCTGTCCCGATGCTAACAATATTAATGGACATCTCTAAAACACACCTCACCATCCTGAATTCAGTCATCAAGAGTATCAGTGAGGGGTAGTAACCACACTCCCTCCTATGCAGTGATAGTTGAAACACTGGAGAGAAAAAATCTTCCCACTTAGTTTCTCATGAGAATCTGGAGATGAACATGAACACAAACTGATGGCTTTGGGTACAGACAAGCAAGGCAAGGTCTGAGCAGAAGGTATGCTACATGACCATCATGAGCATGTAAACAGCCTGCAAATGGAGAGCAGGTTGCAGCAGTTCAAGCACGGAAGCAAGGAAAAAGGAGATTTACAAGGGGGCATCTGAAATGAAGAATGCCCATGAGCTCAGGACTGGAAGCAAAGATGACTCAGATTTCTTGAAATAGGAAGATTTTTCTTTTCTTTTTTTTTATTTTTTTTTCCTGCTCTGCTCAGGAAACATGTATTCTTTGTAAACTGGACTGAAAAGACAGAGCTAACTTTATATGACCAATGCTGCTCTTAACAGGACAAGGCAACAGTATTGCAGTATATATGTACCAGAATTTGATGAAGGATTGGGGATTTTGTGATTGGCTTCTGGATGGACAACAGCTTCTGTGGAAACATGTAAAATCGTGAAGGGCACTTTTCTTACCCACTAACAGCTATCTGCTAACAGTGAGCCTATAAACAGCTCTAGAAATTACCTGAGCTTAGACCAAAGGCAGGTATATCTTAATAAAATACATGATCTTGTAGCAGTAATCCATTCTCAGGCATCATCTGAACCATATTGAAAGGTTTCCAAAGGTTTCGCTGAACAATGAAAGGGGGACTTCCTCAGTTTCTGCCATTAGCACCAACAGAGAACGTGCAGGACATTCTCAGCATGGCCCTTAGCTAGGAATCCAGTCAAACTAGAATTTGTCCCAAGTTTATTTTCAAGTGATGTTTTGATCATGTGCAAAATGCATGTCCCCTCTGGCTGCTCCTTAATTTGGGCATAAAGCCTCTGGGAGTGGGATAGAAATGTGTTTCAACTTGAACAGCTGACTTTATAGAGGAATAAATTATTCAAATTAATTATGCTTTGTATTTTTTTGGTTTCCCCCCCTTTGTGAATTAACCAGCAGCGGTTTTTATGATTTCATATAAATCACAAATGTATTCATTACTGAGCAATTTCTATAAATCAGCCTTTAGCCCATATAGGTTGATCCTGGGGAAGTAAAAATAAAAAATAAAAAAAGTGTTTACATACAAAATGTGCACTTTTATTACTTTTCATTGGCTGCAAATATCAGCCTGTATTTCTTTCTCTGTTGCTTGAATGATTAAACTTAGAACACTTTCACATTTGTAAGAACTAAAATTCTGACTTACAAATATTTAACTTGTCTTTCTGTGAAAAAATCTACCAGCATTTTGCAAAAAAGAAGATGTACAAAGTAGATGGTGGTGGTGGGGACAACATACAAACTTTGAACACAAGTAAATATTTTAAATCATTTTAAGGCTATCCACCCACACACTCTTATTGGTAAGAGGGCAGAGCCCCATTGTGTCAGCTACTGATAGCAGCCAAGCACACCTTGTCACAGACATCCTGGGAAGCTTTGATACAATATGAAATCAGCATTAGTTAAGTAATTAAATTAATGACTTAGCAAGGGCGTACTTCTCAAAATGTAGATTCACTTCTTAAAATAAATATTTTGTTTTAATCAGTATAAAGTTTGAAAGAATTTAAGAAAGAACAACTAAAGAGCAGTTCAGTGTGCCTGAACCAACAGCCTGGGGGTTGCTGCCTAGCCATTTTTCTGCCCATCCAGCTTCCAGGCTGCTTTAATTGGAAAGATATAGAACACAGGTTTGGGAGAGCGACAAGATGTTTCTGTTATAAATTATCTCCTCCTGTATGAACAACTCATACACCAATGCCTGTGTACTTACAGCCTGAATGAGAATTAAAGGCACAAGTCCATATCTGCCTAGCATCCAGCTGAGAGCTGTCAGCATTGCTTTTAGAGTCCCAGAAACTAGCAGAACGGGGTAGGTTGGACCACCATGGAGAATACGCACACAATCAAAGAGTGGGGTGAGCTTTAGGGTGCTGCCTTGGCAGAATTCAACAAGCTTGCCCATTTGCCACACTTTTACGACTACACATTAGTGAGGTGGATCATGATTTCTGGTCAAATTCTTTCAATCCATATGTATAGATTTTTTTTATAGTTTTTTTTTTTTTCAGAATTTCCCTAGTTAAGGCAAGTGGTGGATATTAGTCAGGACATTGTTTCTACAAAGATTCAGCTACTTTGGTATTTCTTTAGCTGTGGTCATCCCAAAGCTTTCTATGTATCTCCTATAATGCAGTATCCTATTCCTTCTGGTGATAATGATCCTTCTTGTCTCTCTGTTTTCGCAGACTTTGTTTTTAGACAGTTTATTACATGGCATTATGACTCACACCGTTCTTTCCGATGCTTAACTTGATTATGTATCAACAAGATTAAACAGCTGTATAAACACCTCATCCTTTAAAGCTGTGTATTATCTTTATTTATTCCTATTTGATTTATGAATTGGAATTACTTCATCTGAGTACTTTGGAGCAGCCTGTCTACCTGCTCCTAGTCAAACTTCAAACAGATCTACACCAGTCTGCTCTTGTAGCACACAACACTATTCAGGTATAAAGACTTGCACTTTTTATTGGCTTTCCATCTCACAAATTAAGCACTCGCCCAGTCTTTTATATCGCATAGCTATCCTTGCTCATTATCTAACTATGTGCATTAAAAAGCATTTCTTATATGAAATAAAAACATGTTATTCTGACACTGTGGTTACTGTCTCCTAGCAACAGAACTTCTTCTTAATAAGGCACTTGTTATTTCAGGGGTCTGTATCATGAATACTTTAAATAGCCTTAATTTTCTGTATAGGTTCACAAAATTAATCAATCCTTTTCATTATGAGTTTGATGACCTATGAAAACGGTGTATTATTACCACAATACAACAATAACTCAATCTCTAAAATATGATACTTTTAAATCTCTTTGTGCTAATGTTTTATTTCAACATCGCATTTAAATTAAGTGGAAGAAAGTTCTTTTCTCACATAACCAGGATTTTCTGCCTAGCCAGTTTAATGCCTGTGAGTGCAGGTTCTCTCATAAGCACACTTGTAAATTACTACACTGGATCACAAATAAACATATCATAATAAGAGAAGAGAGATTCATGTTGTACAAGTTCTTTTCGTATAAAAGCAATGATCTTTTTGGCTTCGGTCAAAACATAAAAAATGGATGTTTAAAGGTCAGTGCCAGTAGAAGAGAAAGCACAAATCCGAGAAAATAATGGGGGAGCCCCTATTGAAATTACATAATAGTTTGTTTTAAATTCCCAGGAAACCTTAGACTTGCTATTATCTAGGTAATAAAACACAGTATAATTGATATCTGATGGATGATTTGTTTCTTGTAAAGTTTTTACTTCTTGTCTATCTTACAAAATTATATGTTCACAGCGTAATTCTGGAAATCATGCAGAAATAAGTGCAATTTTATTTCTCCAGACAAATCATTCATTTGTGAGAAATGTGTTTGGAAAAATAATGAACGTATTTCTTACTTCCACAATTTTGAAATAGGTCAAGGCGTACTAATGATCATATTGTTGGTGACAGTGTACAGCACTTGTAGTTTGCAAAAGACTGAAGATGCATCTTAAAGTTATTTATTTCATTAATGTACCCAATTGCAATGTCAATTTGCAAGTTGTCATTAATACACCAAGGAGGAGGACTGAAAGGATGTCTTCACAGATGGACCTAAGCAATAATGTGCTGAATGAGGCATCTGAAGAGAAGCAACAAGCAGCTGGAGGAAAGAACTCATCTACTGGCCAGTTCAAAATGCACAGACACACAACAAGGTTATGAAAGCATTCTTGTGGAGGTAATGTTCACTGTGCTAATGAACAAGCAGGAGAGTTTTCTGCCTTCCAGAAATGAAAGTGTAAAGGTGAGAAAGAGCAATTCCTCTGGCAATGAGCCTCTGTTGGCACCTCTGATGTCTTATCAACCTGCATTCCACTGATCCTGGAAGAACTTAGGGTTATTTAAGGAAATTAATATCTGAAAAGTCATGTCATATATGATGCCCCTTTTCCCTCAAAAAGAAGGAATTTGCAAAATCTGTAAGGCAATCTGTGGTTGAGCTAAAACGTTGGTAGGGTACCAAGAGGTAGGTTTTGCTTCAGTTGCCCTCTGTCTTTGTAATACCTCACTCTCCGAGGGAATAAACGTGGTCAGTTAACCAGAAGGTTGTTCATTCAGTAGAATAATTATGGCATAAAGACTTTGCTGTTTTTGCTGTAAGCTAGTCTCAAAACAACATAAAACCAAACATACCGAATCTATGAAGGAACATACCTTAAAAAAAAGAAAAAAAATTAAATGCCCATCCACAAATACTATCTACCTAGGTAACAGGTCAGAGGAATTGAAGTATTTCGCATATAGAGAAAAAATAAATAAAGTATGGGAAATACTACTGAAATCCAGTGGAATGGATCATAATTGAATCTTTTGAAGCTCAATCAAATTGAAGCTTATCAGTGACATGGTACTGTGTCTACATTAACTTTTCAGCAGATAATTTAGAATATGAGAAGTCTGACTCACAAAATCAAAGATGGGATACTGGAGGACATCCACTCCACTTCTTCCAAATAGCAAGTATCACTAGAAAACAGGCAAAAATTTCCTTTAATAGCTGTCAACGATGTGCAAGAGGGTCAAAAAATGCATTCGTATACCTAACAATCTGGAAAACATTCAAAATTTATAGCTTTCAAAAATAGTGCACAATAATTTCCTTAGTGAGCATGCTCAGCATCCAACAGAGGTAACTCAATACTGAGCCTCGCAGACCAAAGAAGATTTAATCACTGTCTTTTAAATGTACAGTCTGACTTGAAAAACAGGTATTACATTGCATTTATGTTGTTTGACCAATATATGGCACAATAAAGAATGTGATAAGAACATTTCAATGAGCCAGTTTCTGAAAAAATTAAGCAGTTATTACACTAGGTATATATTGGGAATACAAAAATTAGAGACGTATTAGTGATAATAATAACAAGTCACCTGTAAATTACTAGGTGTCCCACAATAGATAATGTTGTAGATGTGACTTTCTCAAATAATTTGGAAATTATTAATACATCTTTTGAAAAACTTGATTATTTCTACCCAATTACAGAAATGTAAATTTGGATCCACAGTTAAGATTGTATACATTTTATATAAAAGGAAAAAAAAAGAAAAAAGAAAAAAACAGTGTCATTGATAAGGACTTAGAGTCTAACTTCCTTGATGCAGCTCCTAAAATATCTAAATAGATCATTCAACAATAGAGACCATCAACTAAGAAATAGATGCTAAAAATTAAAACAACTTTTGTCAACAAGTTCCATAGTAGCCAGGTCTTGTAAAATGAACCACTGGCATTTTTTGACAGTATATGAGTTTGGGTGTTGAAAACATTTCTTTTGATGAACTACTTGGATTTTAAAATAAGTAAATAAATCTGACTTGCTACTATGACATCTTGATTCGATAATCTTACTGTTTTAAAAATGGCGGTACGCAGAAGCATCAACACAGACTATAAATATTCAAAACTACCTGCACATCTGAAAATAAAGTGACTGAGAAAATATTAATTAATTAGGCAACTAAGTAGTGAGGTTCCTAAAAGATCATTTTTGGTCTAATTCTCATCAATATTTTTAATTGATGATCCGGGGATATTTCTGATGAATGAGAACAGAAAATCTTTAGTGGTTAAGTGTTTTAGTTGACAAAGATTCATGGAACAGTGAGTAATGAGGGAGCTGGTTACTGATACAATCTGAATCACTCGGATAAACGGTCACAACATTAGAAAATGTGTCTAATAGATCCTAACACAAAAAATACCTCTATGAAGCAACAACACAGTTTGCACTCAAAAGACAGGTTTTTCTCAGTTTCCTACTTTTACTGAGCAGAAAACAGAGAAAGGATCTATATTTACAACGCTTTTTTGCTTCATTTCAAAAATGAGCTGCCTATAAAGAATTTACATTTACATGAAACAACATTCAGTGACTTAAATCTGAAGGGAGAGGAAGATAATTTAACAGTTCCTGTGTAACAATGCAGTTGAATGAGGGTGGAGGTTTCACTTGATACATAGCTGAACTCCACCACAACTCCTCTGGCAAAGTAAAGGGGAAAAATATGATGGAAAAGGGCTCCATGTGGGAGCATTCTTGAAGAGATGCTGCCTGTGGGCAGCTCCTGCAGGATCAGTTCAGGAAGGACGGCATCCCATGGGAGAGAGCCCACATGGAGCAGGGTCAGAGAGTGACCATGAAGGAGCAGCGGAGATGAAGTATCAAGGGACTGACCATAGCCCCCATTCCTCTGCGCTGCTCAGGGGGAAGAGGGTGGATGGGGGGGAAGGCATTTTCTGTTTCTTTCCTTTGTTTCTCACTTCTCTAGTTTGTTAGTAAGAGGTCATAAATTTTACTGTCTCCCTACTCTGAATCTGTTTTGCCTGTCACAATAATTGTTGAGTGATCTCCCCATCCTTATCTCAACCCTTGAGCCCTCTGCATCATGTTTTCTCCCCTTTCCCCTTTGAGGAAGGGGAGTGAGAGCACAGCTGTGGTGTAGCTTGGCTGCCCACCCGAGTAAAACCACCACACCAAGCAGCACAGAGGAACAGGGGCTGCGGTCAGTCCCTAATGCTTTGTCTCTGCCACTCCTTGCCAGTCACTCTCTGCCCCTGCTCCACGTGGGGTCCCTCCCGCATCTATCCATTCTCCAGCCTCTTTGTCCCCCAGTTTGTACATATATCCAAGGGCTACCCCTTCCCAGGTGCAGTATCCAACACCTGCTCCTGTTAAATTTCATATAATTAGTGACTGCCCAGACCTCCCATTTGTCAAGATCTCTCTGCAAACAAAGAAAACAAAAACAAATAAACAAAACCACTACAGAAATAAGGATTCAGAAGAAACCTGTGAAATTCTAATAATTAGTTCATTGAAAATAACAGAATTTGCCAAATAGGTATGTTATAGTACACATTTCTCTACACTGAATGAGAACCAGTGGAGAACTACTCATGACATTGAGCCAGTGCAATTTTTTCCATTGATAACAGTGGGACCAAAGTTTAATGCCAAATATCTGTTAATCACATGGACAAAGGAAGACTTATCTTGCTTTTAATTTCTCACTTTTTAAGACTTTGGAATTAGTTGTTGAAGAAGACACTCAATTTAAGGAAGACTGTTACTTAGCAACCTTAATCGGTTTTAAAACAAAGCTTTAGCTTGTGATTTTTTTCAGCAAGGAAATAATAGATCTCTGTCCCTAAGTGTTTCTAACCAAATTAATAGTTAGAGGGAACGTCTAGACTGAGCATCACTGGAAGACTGTAAGCAACCTCATGGTCAAAGCAGGATCCTTACATAGGTTGGCCCTTTCCTGTTTTTTGCATTCATGACAAAAAAAAAGCCTTGATTCTTAAAGAAAAAAATATCCTTCAGACACTAGCTGTTGGCTGATGTAGTGAAGCCAAGTCCACAGCTATGGAAAAAGTGCTGCTTTCATAAACAAACAGAAAAATAAATACCTGGTGGGTTTTATTCTCTGTAATAAAAGTGCACAAGGTAGCAAGAAAAAAATGAGGGAGCGTGGAGGAGTTCACCTTCAAAATCAAATACCAGATCACAATTACTTTCTTACTATGCCACCTAAGACTCAAGCTGGAACAGACACCATGAAGCTGCCAATTACACTGAAGCTAAGCTGGCCCCAATCATGTACTCTGAAAGATTTTGGTGCTCCTAATCATTGTACGTAACATGCTGAGATACCCAAAGGTTTCAAGAAAAGGACAAGGCAACAACATATGGCCTAAACAGACTGTTCATGTCTTTTCCTAAACAAGGCACAGCTTCACCTTAAACTGACCTTGCAATTACAGGCTACTGGGAGCAGTTATGCACTTGAAAACAGTCAGCACAACAAATGGCAGGGACAGGAAAAGACTCAGAAATATTGAACGCAGAGAGACCTCAGTAGGCAAGCTATGTATTCTGGCCACATTGAGTCAATCCTGCTCTGCTCAGGCAGGCTCTTACCTGAATCTTAAAAACTGAAATGTGCAAGCAACAGAATCCTTTGTAATATCATTTCCTGTACATATGAAACAATGATAAAAGCTCTTCCAGAGGTACACTTTTAGCAATTCAAGGCCAGGGTTCTGAGAAAATCATCTCCAAAATAATAAATTTAAATAACTGCAAAGTAAGCAAAGTGGATTAATGTGCCTGCTTCCTCCCTCGGCAAGAGCAGAATCTGAATTGTTTTTCCTGAGCAGCTATTAAGTAGCTAGGGAAAATTTGCAGTTCCACCTCAAATAATTCATACCTATAGGAGTCAATTCAGGAATATTAATAAAATTCACATATCTAGAGTCAGTATGCATCAGAGTTTATGAAACACTGGAATCTCAGCAGTAGCCCACCAAATTTACCGTAATCTGTACCTACTATCATTCATGTAGGGCAAAAATAACCTTCCAAATTGTTGACAAATGCCTAGATCTTAGAAAATTGCTAACGCGAAGTTATTTTGGCTTCCTTAACTATCCAGAAGTACAAAAGTTTAAGAATGTCTTCGTATCACTGATACACCACAAGCTGCAGTTGATGAATCATTTCTTTTAAACGCACATACATTTACATATGTGTATTCCATGTGCATGAAAGATAAACATTATACATATTTGCAAATACACCAAAATCCTGAATGGCTTTGTCATTTACTGGAGGAATCTTATATAGAACAACCAGTCTATGGGACTACAAATAGAGACAAGTATTACAAGTAATTAGCATGTCTTGTCAGGCAAACTTATTTTCTTTCTAATATCATTTGTTACGATTTTCTTTAAATCAGTACTGGTTTTATATCAAGTGTGGATCTCACCCCAATGCTCTCCTTTTAGGAGGGATGCAATAGGTCAGCAGATGACAACAAAAGACAAACAGACATGAGGTATATTCATTTAAAATAAATAAGAAATTCTAGATATTGGGAGAGCTAAAACTTTTTTTTTTCTGTGTTATCGCTATGTTTCATTGTTATAGGGTGTTTCTCCTAGTAACATGGTAACAGCTGCTGACTCTTTTTCCTCCATGATTTCACATGACACACTTCTCACTAGAGCTCTCAGCAATTTATTCTTAATGCTTTGCTTCTTTGAGAAAGTATTTTTGGACAAGTTGAGTGTTGTATACATAAAAATTAGATAAGGTGAGGGGAAAAAAAATCTCTTTAATTCAACAGGTTGCATGAAATGCCACTATGCCAGAAGAGACCGAAGCCACGGCTGGATTTCGGGGGTGGGGTTTATTTCATTTTTAAAGGCACAATATGTGCTAGACAGTGTGCTCGTGGGGAGACTACTGATTTAGAAACTGCTGCTTGGTTGCCACCTCCATCAGATCAGGTCAAAAATCCTGGAGAATTTATCTCAGTGAGATAGGAAAGAGGTCACCCCACAGGGGAAACCAAGCTCTGGAGAAACTGCTACGCAGCTGCCCTGCTGTGGCAGGGCAGAGCATGCCACTGCTACCAGCCTGGAACCATTAGCCAGGGTTTGCTTGCATTTGTAAGGCTGAAAAACAAGGAGATAAAATTCAATCACTGACACAGCACCCTGATTTTACTTTCATGAGTTGCTGGCTTTAAAAACAGCAAGTGCTTGGATTTTTACATCCTGAAATTAAAATTACATCAATTCAACTTTGAGGACTCAGAGCTGTCGCAGCCAAAGAAGAGAAAGGAGCCCCCAGGAGGCCACCTTACTTGTTCATTCTGAATGTGAACGCTAAATCTTATTGATCTTCTGATCACTACAAATTATTGGTAAACCCTGCATTAGAACAGACTGCTGTAAATTGGAGTTGACAGTATTATCACTGAGAGAAATGCATGAGCTCTGTGTTTGCCAAAGTGTGACCTGCCAGTCTAGTGGTATAGCACTGTGGCACTGCAAGGACTGATATTTCTCATTCAGCTGCTCTTCTCAAGCAAATGATTTCATTCTCATAGAATTAACATTGTTTAAGAACATTTCTTCACACTAGACATGCGCCACCACTTAATGAGGAAAAAAAAAAGAAAAAGGATATCAGGGCAGCATTCCCATCTTGCTTGCTTCTCATCTCCAGGTGCAATTGCACAAGACTCAGCTGCATCAGGACATTAATACCTTTCCAGACAGTGTCATTCAGTTAAGCCATCCTCAATTGATATTGTGACATTAGCATGTATGCAAGCAGGATTTAAAAAAAAAAAAAAGTTCAAGAACGCAAATTTAGATTATAGAACACAGGAGGAACCCTACTAACAAGGTTAGGAACAAACATTTCTATATTATAGGAAGCAAAGAGATTGTAGTACGTAACTGGCAAGCAATTTAGGAAACTGGCATGATTGCTAGCTTTGTTGACTGACTGGAAAAAAAGACCTTTTTCTATTTTTGTTTGGCTTTTTTTTTCTTTTCTATGCTTGAAGACTGCACATATACATTGTTCCTCAATCAGGCTCCTTCAGCACTAACTAAATAGTAAAGAATTACTGAAGAAAAGAAAGCAACAGTAGATGGAAAGAGTTACTTAGTGCTTTGAAGGCTATTTGTTGACATGGGCCAATGGTGACATTTAATGGGAGGCAAATTATATAGCAAAAATTATAAACAAGGAAAATTACTTTGACGACCAAAGCTTTTATGGCAATGCAGGAGCTGGCGTACCATGTTTGAAAGGTAGACAGGTACCCAGGAGGAAAGTGAGGACACCTAGAGGAGCTCTAATTGCAAAATTTTGCAATTTTTGTACATAATTTTCTACTTCAAACATCTAATAGAAATAATGTAGCATATTTGCATAGAAATATAGTCACACAAATAATGATGTTTGTGTTATATTATCTTACAAGCAAAATAGTTCACTTAAGAGAATTTCCTCTGGCTTTTCAAACTTAAATAGCCTCAAGAGAGATTTACAGCTGAACTGCCAAATATTGTGTTTGGGTCATAATTGAGGGATAGATCCAATAAACATTTTAGGAATCTGAAAGACTGGCACTACAATCCCTAGTTATTTTAGGTATCTGTGCTACAAACTGGAGTCAAGGATCTTGTTCTGGGTATATCTCCCTTCTTCCTGAGGGATACCCTATGCAAACCCTGTGGGTAGAAATCCCAAGTGGCACCCAGTGGCAGCTGTGCTGACATGAAAAATAAATAAATTACTGGGCTACAAACAGAGCACAGAGACAAAACGGAGCATGACTCTCAGACACAGGGTAAGAAGCAAGTCCACATCCTCTGGTTCCTTCTGCTTTGAGATAGACTAAAGTTCATGTCTAGTAATCTGTTTCCTTTTAGCTCCAGTAGGCCAGAGGAATACAAAAGAAATGGAATAAGAATAAAGCAACCTTTCCTGGACCCACACAGTTGGATGCCCCAATTTAGAAGGGAAAGGGCTTTCTGAGTCAAAGGTTGTGATATGGTAACTTCAACAGCCAAAGTATTTATTCTTCATGATT